TAACACACACAGTTAGGCAGTTTCAGTACTCTGTCAACTGTTTATCACACACAGTTAGGCAGTTTCAGTACTCTGTCAACTGTTTAACACACACAGGCAGTTTCAGTACTCTGTCAACTGTTTAACACACACAGTTAGGCAGTTTCAGTACTCTGTCAAATGTTTAACACACACAGTTAGGCAGTTTCAGTACTCTGTCAAATGTTTAACACACACAGTTAGGCAATTTCAGTACTCTGTCAGCTGTTTAACACACAGTTAGGCAGTTTCAGTACTCTGTCAGCTGTTTAACACACACAGTTAGGCAGTTTCAGTACTCTGTCAACTGTTTAACACACACAGTTAGGCACTTTCAGTACTCTGTCAACTGTTTAACACACACAGTTAGGCAGTTTCAGTACTCTGTCAACTGTTTAACACACACAGGCAGTTTCAGTACTCTGTCAACTGTTTAACACACACAGTTATGCAGTTTCAGTACTCTGTCAAATGTTTAACACACACAGTTATGCAGTTTCAGTACTCTGTCAAATGTTTAACACACACAGTTAGGCAATTTCAGTACTTTGTCAACTGTTTAACACACAGTTAGGCAGTTTCAGTACTCTGTTGACTGTTTAACACACACAGTTAGGCAGTTTCAGTACTCTGTCAGCTGTTCAACACACACAGTTAGGCAGTTTCAGTACTCTGGCAACTGTTTAACACACACAGTTAGGCAGTTTCAGTACTCTGTCAGCTGTTTAACACACACAGTTAGGCAGTTTCAGTACTCTGTCAACTGTTTAACACACACAGTTAGGCAGTTTCAGTACTCTGTCAACTGTTTATCACACACAGTTAGACAGTTTCAGTACTCTGTTGACTGGAAAGTTTGGCTAAGTAATGGAAAGTAGTGTAGGCTTGGTGATTTCAGTGTAGACTTGGTGATAACCTTTTTCAGAGATGGAGGGACTACTCCAGTCTCCAGTCTCATATTGATAAGCTGGGTAATGACTAGAAGCAGTATAGCCAACTGTCCAATAGTAGTTTTGTGGGGGTCGGATCCAGGTCATAATATGTTGGTTTTGACTGTCTGATTATAGTAAGAACCTCTCTACTACCAGAGGAGAGAATGACAACAGGGCCTCGCCTCGGAATTCATGACATTCCACTTCGCAGTTAGTTGATGCACGGTCCAACTCAGAACGAATTGCTTCAAACTTAGAATGAAAGTAATCACTGACATTAGAATCACTATCTGTATCTGGGAGAACAGGTCAAATGCTGTACAGCGTACTTCGGTTTCTTCGTTATTGGTACTGAATGAGTTTTTCATGAATATATTTCCAGGTCATTACTCAACAACAGGTTTTTCAAGAGATTTGACCCATCTACACGATTCGATTATTGGGAACGTATTTCATCATGGCGCTGATGAAGACGACATCAGCCTGACGGAAGACGGCCTTGACTTGTTTCTAAAGGACAAGGATGACGTCACAATCGGAGAAAGGAATAACCAAGATTTTACATGTGAGTTGAAATCCACAGATATCAAATCATCTATATTTCAGAATCTGCTAGAAAGATCCCATGATACAATGCAGTCGGCACCTTTGGTCTGTTAAAAAGTGACTTTACAAAATATAGCATTATATCCAGACGAATTGAGAATAGGGTTGTGCTTTCAGTCACTGAAGCTTTACTACTGTTGAAAAAATCCTAGATGTGGTAGATATACAAGAATCATCTACTTCTGATTGAGAAAACCCCAGATGTGGTAGATATACAACAATCATCTACTTCTGATTGAGAAAAACCTGGATGTGGTAGATATACAACAATCATCTACTTCTGATTGAGAAAACCCTAGATGTACTAGCTATATTGACATTATGCAAAACCATTCAGCTGACTACAACTATTTCAGTAAGCAATGGTTGGGTAACCCTGGGTATCTACGGGTGAGTTGCTCATGAACATTGTGTTAACATGCAGAGTAATATAATCTCTGGTTGATTTTAAAAATATGAAAAAAAATAAAAAAACTATTTCCTACTCCAGCAGGGCTTTAGGCTCATTTAATTGTTGTAGAAAATTCACCTTCATCAAAACGATTAATCTGTCAAACTTGTACGCTGGGTTTGAAGTCATGAAAATATTATCACTCCTCCCCCGTAACCCTCGTAACAAATAGTGAACTTTGTTACTATTTTAATTATAGTTTGTTAACAACTTTTATATTTTTGAGACATAAATACTGCAAAAATCTCATAGAGATAGTAGACAAACAGCCAAGGACGGAAGCCAAGGGTGGCTGGTTCCAGACCAGGCATCAATATAATATGTTGGAAGTTTTCAACATTGTGATATGTTACGATCGTAGTATGTAATAGCAAGACAAAGTTATCAATCTTCATAACTTTAGAAGAAAAATAATTAAACCTTAAGGTAAGGGCTATTCCTCAGGAAAGCCCCGGTTATTCCTCAAGAAATACCTGTGATTTCCTGGAGAATGCCCGGGAAACATACTGCAGAAGTTTACTCTATAAAAGAGGAACCAAAATAAACAATGATGTGACGTCACTAGAAGTTTATAGGATTCCCAAAATGATGCCGTACGCTATTGTAGTTATGTAACAGCCTGTTCTAGTTCCTATTGTGATAACTGTCATAACACCCTACTGTTGTCCCTTGCAATAATTGCCATAACACCCTACTGTTGTCCCTTGTAATAATTGTCATAACACCCTACTGTTGTCCTCTTGCAACTATTGTCATAACACCATACGGTTGTCCTCTTGCAATAATTGTCATAACACCATACTATTGTCCCTTGCAATAATTGTCATAACACCCTACTTTTGTCCCTTGCAATATTTGTCATAACACCCTACTGTTGTCCTATTGCAATAATTGTCATAACACCCTACTGTTGTCCTCTTGCAATAATTGTCATAACACCCTACTGTTGTCCTCTTGCAATTATTGTCATAACACCCTTCTGTTGTCCTAGTGCAATAATTGTCCTAACACCCTACTGTTGTCCTATTGCAATAATTCTCCTAACACCCTACTGTTGTCCTATTGCAATAATAGTCATAACACCCTACTGTTGTCCTATTGCAATAATTGTCATAAAAACCTACTGTTGTCCTCTTGCAATAATTGTCCTAACACCCTACTGTTGTCCTCTTGCAATTATTGTCATAACACCATACGGTTGTCCTCTTGCAATAATTGTCATAATACCCTACTCTTGTCCCTTGCAATAATTGTCATAACACCCTACTGTTGTCCTCTTGGAAAAATTGTCATAACACCCTACTGTTGTCCTCTTGCAATAATTGTCATAACACCCTACTGTTGTCCTATTGCAATAATTGCCATAACACCCTACTGTTGTCCTCTTGCAATAATTGTCATAAGACCCTACTGTTGTCCTGTTGCAATAATTGTCATAACACCCTACCGTTGTCCTATTGCAATAATTGTCCTAACACCCTACTGTTGTGCTATTGCAATAATTGTCCTAACACCCTACTGTTGTCCTATTGCAATAATTGTCATAACACCCTACTGTTGTCCTAGTGCAATAATTGTCGTAACACCCTACTGTTGTCCTAGTGCAATAATTGTTCTAACACCCTACTGTTGTCCTATTGCAATAATTGTCATAACACTATACGGTTGTCCTCTTGCAATAATTGTCCTAACACCCTATTGTTGTCCTATTGCAATAATTGTCCTAACACCCTACTGTCGTCATCTTGCAATAATTGTAATAACACCCTACTGTTGTCCTCTTGCAATAATTGACATATCACCCTAGTTTTGTCCCCTTGCAATAATTGTCATAACAGCCTACTGTTGTCCTCTTGCAATACTTGTCATAACGCTCTATTGTTGTCCCCTTGCAATAATTGTCATAACACCCTACTGTTGTCCTGTTGCAATAATTGTCATTACACCCTACTGTTGTCCTCTTGCAATAATTGTCATAACACCCTACTGTTGTCCTCTTGGAATAATTGTCATAACACCCTACTGTTGTCCTGTTGCAATAACTGTCATAACACCCTAGTGTTGTCCTGTTGGAATCATTGTCCTAACACCCTACTGTTGTCCTGTTGCAATACTTGTCCTAACACCCTACTGTTGTCCTGTTGCAACACTTGTCATAACACCTTACTGTTGTCTTGTAGCAATAATTGTCCTAACACCCTACTGTTGTGCTATTGCAATAATTGTCCTAACACCCTACTGTTGTCCTATTGCAATAATTGTCATAACACCCTACTGTTGTCCTAGTGCAATAATTGTCGTAACACCCTACTGTTGTCCTAGTGCAATAATTGTTCTAACACCCTACTGTTGTCCTATTGCAATAATTGTCATAACACTATACGGTTGTCCTCTTGCAATAATTGTCCTAACACCCTATTGTTGTCCTATTGCAATAATTGTCCTAACACCCTACTGTCGTCATCTTGCAATAATTGTAATAACACCCTACTGTTGTCCTCTTGCAATAATTGACATATCACCCTAGTTTTGTCCCCTTGCAATAATTGTCATAACAGCCTACTGTTGTCCTCTTGCAATACTTGTCATAACGCTCTATTGTTGTCCCCTTGCAATAATTGTCATAACACCCTACTGTTGTCCTGTTGCAATAATTGTCATTACACCCTACTGTTGTCCTCTTGCAATAATTGTCATAACACCCTACTGTTGTCCTCTTGGAATAATTGTCATAACACCCTACTGTTGTCCTGTTGCAATAACTGTCATAACACCCTAGTGTTGTCCTGTTGGAATCATTGTCCTAACACCCTACTGTTGTCCTGTTGCAATACTTGTCCTAACACCCTACTGTTGTCCTGTTGCAACACTTGTCATAACACCTTACTGTTGTCTTGTAGCAATAATTGTCCTAACACCCTACTGTTGTCCTGTTGCAGTAGCCGTGGACAGTTCCCTGGCTGAAGCTCTGTCCAGGAAGATCAGACTGGCCTGCTTCATCACCACCAGGGAGAAGAACATGGAGACGAAGCTGAAAGCCGTGAACGAGACGTGGGGCAGAAGATGTGACAAGATGCTGTATGTCATGACCACCAACAAAACAGGGCCCGACATTTTAGGAGTGAACATACCCGACGCCCATGGAACCCTAACTGAGAAAATCGTCCTTGCCTTCACACACATGTACACAACATCACTAGACCAGTATGACTGGTTCCTAAAGGCTGATGATGATACTTATGTCATTGTGGAAAATCTTAAATTTCTTCTGGCTCATCTCAACTCCAGCAAACCCGTGTACGTTGGAGACCATTTTGCACCCTTCTCACCTAATGGGTACATGGGTGGTGGAGCAGGATACGCTGTTAGTAGGGAGGCTCTACGTCGGTTGGTAGAGCAGGGCTACAGGGTACCTGGCAGGTGTCGTCACGCTGGCGGAAGTGAGGACATCGAGACAGGGCGATGTATGTACAAGGTGGCAGTATCCACCTATCTATCACTAGACAAGTACAACAGATCAACCTTTCACGCTGCAGCTCCGGAAACTTTCCAAGTTGGTCAGGCCAACTTTGTTGCCGGTTTCTCCGCCCATAAATACCACTCGGTAAGCTGATGTTCTTGTTGTTGTTCGGTGAATGATCAATGTGGCTTGACGTTACTCTGTTATGGTGTTCAAGGTTCTGTTATTCTAGCGCATCCTCTCTCTGTTCTTAATGACATTATTTTCTTTTATTAAATCCCATTTCGTTTCCTTTAATCAAGTTATTTTCAGGCTCTTGAGGTATAGTTTTAAATTTTACAGTTCCTAGTTTCACATGTAACAATGCAAGATGGCCGAATTGCCTCATGGTAGGAAATATGAACATGCTTTTATTACTCGTCCGTCGAAGATACTACAGTGTAATATTTTTGCGGCAACATTACACTAGTGTAATACCGCTAGACATATGACGTCAGAATGGTTACAGTTATGACGTCAAAATGATAATGCCTCTGTCGTAATGGTATTAAACCTTGCTTGACTCGCAGAAAATTGATATGAGAGTCATCACACTGTAGGCAGTTTCTATCAATTTAGTTTGGAGATTAATAAACAGAATACCAAACTCTCTTCCGTTAAATACCATTTATATTAAACTCGTGAAAGATTTACTATCAAACTCGCTTTGATACCGAATCATTAACTCGTTTAATATAATTGGTATTACACGGAAGGTCGTTTAGTATCTCTATGTATCTTGGATTACCCTCATGGAAATAATGTGTAATAACCTGACTGTAACCTGAATATAAGGAATAAACCCTCGTGACCTAACTTAACCTAGTCTTCACTGTGGACATTTGCCTGTTTAGATCTTTTTCCAGACCATTTTCAGCTATAAATTAATGTATTGAAAATTCCCTGTGCATCCACGGCTGTCATAACTTTAAGCATCTGTTGCTAATATTTCAAATGACCCTGTCATTTAAGGGGGCGCAATTGCTTGTCAGAGTTGGACACGCCAGACACTAGAGATCCTGTTGACACCGACTGTGTCTGTTGTTCGTGTGTTTCACCAAAGCGGTAGACGTCTGGGCCATCATTATTTCGCACTGTTCCGAATGTCTGGCATACATGACACGGTTACACCCATCTCGCTCACTTTATCTAAACCCTTACAGTCCAAAAAAGGTTTTTAACAAACGATCATTATTTTGTTGTCACTTACCTCTACCTTTACGAGGGGTGACCACTTACTGATAGAACATCCAGGTCATCAACATGCGTGTGTAGTGAAATTTCAGTTTCACACGTGCAACTCGCACACCTGGCTGTTCTACCAGCAAGTGGTACCCCCTCGTAAATAAAAAGCGAAAAGTTACAACAAAATAATGATCGTTCGTTAAACAAGTTTTTGTATTCGGGAGTCTAAAATTATGAGACAAATCATCAGAGTTGGTATGCGATTGTGACTGTGCCAAGTTTGGTTTTGTTGCAATTATTAGACTTTCTGTTAGTGAGCAATTCATAGGTCTCAAATGAAATCAAGCGGATTGTACGTGTAAAATTGATTGTTTTTTTGTCATTGAATCAGAGAATATACATTCAGGATTAACTGGCTGATGGTGTCTTCAGTAATATTTGAAATTGGTGGGGCAATGGTCATTGGACAATGGCAGCGGTGGACAATACGCATTCTGATTAATATATTTTAGTAGTTAAAAGTGATTACATTGCAGTACTACCGTACGGGTGAGGAGATCCCGTGTAATACCTTCTTGAAATGTGTACAGTGTGTAATTTAGTGATTCTCGACATTGATTGGTCGATCGTATAAATGTACATTTTCATTGGATGTCGGAACTACTTTCACACCACTACGTTCATTCATAATATTTCATCGATTTATTGATGAATTGACCGTGCTGTAATCGCACTGATTCGACATGTTAAAACAGAAAAAAAACCATACAGGATTTGGAGTTATATAGTATAAAATTATCTAATCGTATTTTGTAAACAAACATGGCTACCCAGTTAACGTCAATCAACGTCAATGACCTGGTCAAGGTGGACGGCTACATTACTGGACGTGTAACAAGAATTATACAACCACTAAATTCCTTTCGCGTACATGTGATAAACACTGTACACGGTGAAATGGAAGTAGCAAGGTAAGTGTTGCCGGAACCGATATCACTAAAGCTCGGGACAGTGAACATTAATTTCACTCGGGACATATTTCCCGTACTCACTCGTACCTCGTGGGTTATTCTCTACTTACGTAAGTGACCCTGTGTGGATTCTGTGTGTGTATAATTTCGCCTCTAGATAAAGCAGACAGAAAAGTGGGATTGGTGATCAGCTGATTTGGGGTTATCGTGCAATCGGTATTTTATCAAACTGCTGGGCCTAATAAAAATAATAAAGAAAAATAAAAAAATATGTAATATGCAGTTGCGTTGCTGAGTTAAATCTGTTTTTCGACACAGGGTCCAGAGTGCTGCTCACAGCTGACTATAAGCTTCCACTATGTGAAACCAGAGCTGATGAGGACACTGGACATCTTCCTCTACCAGATCACTGTGTTTGGTCGGACGGTCAAATACAAGGAACTCAGGGATCTGTTCCGAGAAGAGACGTTTCAAATCCCCCAGAAACGTCGACGTCGGCCTTACCCAGGGGAGACAATAGAGGAATACTACAAGAATGCCACGGAATGGAGACTGAAGAACACTACCATCTATATTCCAGACACAAAGAAACCAAAGAAATCCAAGATAAAGTCAAGTGTGTAGAATAGCCTCCCAGCCGATGACATTAACAATATATTTCATTGCCATGGTTTTACTGAAAAAGAGAGTTTTTTCAGCACCATGAGAACCCGTCATTTCTACATTTCGGTATTTCAGCACACATTGATGTCTTCTTTGATTGGCATTCTAGAAGTTGAAGAGATGAAGAATGGGGATAGTGTTTATGGATATACAATTTCTTTATTCTGTATAGGCGACGTTTCGACATAGATTCTAATATCGTTGCCAAACAAGTGGTACATGAGAAGTAATTTTGGGTGATATATACATCATAAGTTGTTCACTGGTCACGAGGGGGGCATGGGTTGATGTACCCTCGATGTTTGGTTATGTTCTCTGAGCCCGAAGGTCCCAACTAAATTGTCAACTTCTTTTTAGCACTTGAAGAAAACGTTCATCGGGTTATTATTTCATGGAAATACTTTGACAGACTTTTGCAAAATTGTTTAAACTTTAATATACATGTATATCAAAGTGATGATTCGGTGTCAAATCTCCGGTATAATTTCACTGACATTTAGCTTTCGAAAGCACGCACACTCACAGATAACTCCCACTTCCTGTTATGTAATTTGGATATCTGGTCAGCATACGAAATACACAATGCCATTTAGAAAGTGGTCAAATGTAACATATGTTATATTTGGGATTACACTTTCTTTATAAGTTCAGATTAAAGTACTTTTGTTGGGTTGAGTCCAATCCGGGATTCGAACCCACAGCCTCAGAGTCAGGCACCTAATCGCCAGCACACAAAGTCAGACGCCTAGACCGTTCAGCCATAAGTGTAATCCCAAACATAACATATGGTCAGCATACGTATATCATTGAGGTATGACATAATTGTTTTCACGTCGTAAGCTTTTATCACAGACAGTTGCTTTGATTACATGATAAATTCTACGATCACAGTAATCTATGGAAACATAAATATCACAAGTGAATATGGCATAGATGTTTTAAAGCAAATGTACAAAACGTTAACTATAAAACTTACTATAGGATATATGGTTTCCGTGTTACAGTGTGAGAATGCTGTGGTGATATGATATTTACAAATGTGCATGTTTTATTGATATATAATTATTGGATAAGCGTCGTCATTTCTGGTTTCTGAATGTATGCAACTGTTAGATGATAGAAATCTGTTTGCAATGTATTCATTATCATGCATGTGTTCAATTGGCTGAATTGGTCACGTGTTATTTGGTTCATTTCGCAATGAATGTAACAAATGTAGCCACGTGGACGACGTTTACTGTTGATACTTGACTCGTGAACGAAAGAGGCATCCAGTAGGGGTTAAAACTTTAATACTTTTCTGGTTGGTCGTTACACTTCGAGTGACATTATCAAAGCACATGTACAGCCACTTCCGCTTAAGTCAAAGGGAGCTGGGCGGTGGGGTAGCCTAGTGGTTAAAGCGTTGGCTCGTCACGCCGAAGACCCGGGTTCGAATCCCCACATGGGTTTAATGAGTGAAGCCCATTTCTGGTGTCCCCCGCCGTGATATTGCTGGAATATTGCTAAAAGCGGCGTAAAACCAAACTCACTCACTCACTCACTCAAAGGGAGTTAATATTTTTTTGCTATTTTTGAAAACCACTAAAATATTAGATAAAAACCTTGCTGATGAGCACATAAAATCTGTCGAACACTCATAACTGCAGTTTATACTATAAAATTTACCATCATGGAATCCCACTTTCCATGGAGGGATTGTGTCTTCTCTGTAAACATATGATTGTGATATTCAGGAATAAAACCAGGAATGACACAACACACGGGCAGGGCGTTGTCGCACACTTTGGTTTTGTTGCTCGCTTGGAACGTAAATTTGGAGGTTAGTGTATGTACTCCAGATTGACAGAGTCCGACAACTGGAATTTTATCTCGTCTCCTAGTGGTGATTGACAGGCTCCCGAAACTTTGTTTTGATTTCCTTGTTATTGATTGGCTGCTGAATTTGAGGGTGCGTCAAGTTGTGTGCATAAATTTGACAATCCCGTCATTCACTGCATGCCACATTAACAATCCCGTCATTCACTGCATGCCACATTAACAATCCCGTCATTCACTGCATGCCACAATGTGTATTCTTTCGCTTCGAATGTTTATGGATCTCAAGATTTGTCTGTTTTCATTTATGTAACTGTTTTGATTAAACTATTGTAAATACCATACGTTTTCGCTTTAGAATTTTATTATAATAATCGCCAGGTTATTGCAAATGCTTTAGCACCTGAAACATTACAAAGTGAAATAGTTTGAGCCGGTGACGTAGATTGTGGTTAAGCCGTTGGCTCGTTTTAACCAAGGAACCCGGGTTCGATTCCCCACATGTGTAAAATGTGCAATGTGAAGCCCATTACTGGTGTCCCCCGCCGTGATATTGCTGGAATATTACTAAAAGCGGTTTGTCACTAAACTCGGTACTACTGACCTAAATAGTTTGCACCACTACGCAAGTGTTGTGTTTCTGGCCAAATTCAAGTCGTAAATCACTGCCATGGAGTCATTGTTTGGAATGCTGACATAATGTTCACAGTTATCGGACATTCGGAAGATGCGGGTTAGAATTAGTCTTCATTAACCCATGCATGTCGTAAAAGGCGACATCTGGGTTTGGGTGGTCAGGCTCTCTGACTTGGTTGACACATGTCATCGTATCCCAATAGCGAGGATCGATGCTCATGCTGTTGATTACTGGATTGTCTGGCCCAGACTCGATTAATTACACACCACCTCCATAAAGCTGGAATATTGCTGAGTGCGGCGTAAAACAACAAACAACCCGACCAACCAACCAAGTTATAGGAACACATAGGACAGATTCACAAACTCATTATCCACATTGCGGGAATAAAAGTTACATTCAATGTTATCAAACCAAACCTACAGATTAATTATTTATTTACAAGTTCTTCAACAATACTATGATGATGAAATATAATACAGAGAGATGTGACGTCATTATGACGTAGCAACATGATATGACGTCACCTTTGATGAAAACAATGATTGTGGACAATGAAAATGACAAGAAAGGACCCGCCTCTCAAAGCCTTGTATAACAAGACAAGCATATAAACAAACGGTAAACAGTTCTTGGTAAATGACATGTTTATGGATCTGACCATGGGTACTACATACGGAACATTCGATTCATCACATTCGAATCAAAATATCAAACAATATTGATTCAAAACTCTTTATGCATCATTTCTACAAATTACCCAAATGTGTCATTGATCCAAAGCTATTTTGTTCTCATATAACTAAAACAACAGAATTGCTTTTGATATTCGAAAGAAATTTCTCCCGAAAATAGAGTCGATTTTACTATTTGGACTTTGTAAATGTTCTCCATTTGTCTATTATAGACATATTTTAACTCTGAGTCGTACGAAGCTCTTCGGAAATCTTGGACCATTCAATGCTGTAATTATCACAGTTTGTTCAGTTGCTTCAGTATTGCAGATTTTGTCACTCGGGTTGTCCTTCTGTAGGATCCGCTCACTTCTTCTCATGGCGATTGTTGTCGACATCCGGTGGCGGCCCTACCTTCGTTGTGGTCGACAGCGACTCCTCGTACGACGGCGGCATTGGTGCGGCTGCCTGTCCCGCTGCTGCTGCTGAAACAAACAACGCATATATACACAGGATTAGTGATCATTGATGCTGGGACTGATCCATCCCTATACCTGACACGTTCTGGTGATGTGTAACGTGCTGGTGATGTATAACGTTCTGGTGATGTATAACGTTCTGGTGATGTATAACGTGCTGGTGATGTATAACGTTCTGGTGATGTATAACGTTCTGGTGATCGTATAACGCTCTGGTGATCGTATAACGTTCTGGTGATGTATAACGTTCTGGTGATGTATAACGTTCTGGTGATGTATAACGTGCTGGTGATGTATAACGTTCTGGTGATGTATAACGTTCTGGTGATGTATAACGTGATGGTGATGTATAACGTGATGGTGATGTATAACGTTCGGGTGATGTATAACGTGCTGATGATGTATAACGTGCTGGTGATGTATAACGTTCTGGTGATGTATAACGTTCTGGATACCCAGTACTATTTAGTCATGTTCAAGGGTGTTAAGGAGCGGTGGGCAGCATAGCGGTTAAAGTGTTCGCTCACCATGCGACTATTCAATTCCCCACATGGGTACAATGTATGAAGTCAATTTCTGGCGTCCATGGCCAGGATGTTGCTGGAATATTGCTAACAGCGGCGTAAAACAATACTCATGGACTCTTTTCAAGGTTTCGTGATATGCAGTAATAATAATAATAATGGATATGTTTAGAGCGCCATTTTCCACCCACTGATACATGCTCAAGGCGCTAAGTGTGACATAATGAAAAAACAAATGAAATTGTGTTACTTCAAAGTTTATATGCTGTAATTTTCCTTTCCCGGAACACCTGGTGTCATTGTATTTAAAAGTATTTCATAAGCAGATGTCATGATTGTCATGACGAAACAGTAGTCGAAATCGTACAATAGACTCTGTTCTTAGCAGAAATGTCTTGCAAGTGTTGAGAGTGTTTTGACGCTTGTACTTTAAGAGTAAGTTAGTTTGCCTTACACACAAAGGTTGACCTACCATTAGGGGCGGAGAGGTCGGGGTAGAAGCCTTGGTTGGGATAGCCTGGTCCTTTCGGATACCCCGCAACAGGTGCCCCTGCATAGCCTTGTGGTGGGTAGGATGACATGTTCTGGTAGCTGTAGGGAGGTGGCATCATACCACCAGGGGGCGCTGCTACACCTCCAGCCGGCGTCGTCATCACACTTCCGGGCGCCATGTTGCTGACAGTAACAACAGTCTGTCCTGTTGAGGTGACCGAGACGTGACCTCCGGACCATGACGGGATCGTCTTGGCGATAAGCCGGCGTTCTGACAGATACTTGTTGTGATCTTTCACCAAACAAGGCAGACGACAGAAGTCCACCAACCACCCAACACCCAGCACTCCAAACGTGAAGAAGTACAGCACGCCCCATCCGGGCCTGTTGAGGTAGAAATGATGGAGTCCCAGCCATCCGAAGGGGAACCACAGTATGTATATGTCGTCCAAGTGCTTCCATTCCTTGTCTACCTCCATGGCCTGGATGTCGTTTGCGCGTTTGACGAGGACGGGGATGCGGAACCAGTCATACACCCATCCCACCCCCAGCAGCCCAAGGGTGAAGGTGTATAGTATCCCCCAT